TGTGTGATAGATACAATGTATATAAGTATGATAAATTTTTAGAATTTGAGTATGGACATTCTGAAATAAATTAACTGTGAGAACCCCCCCCCCCCCAACCCCAACCCCCACATTTCCGTATAAAAAGCTAATTGCAAAACCATGAGGTTTGAACAATATCATTAAGGTGAGACATGACCTCTAGATGTCTTAGTTTTGGTTTTTTTGTTGTTGTTGGGAAGTTGACTTACTGACATACATGTACACCCTGAATTTCAGAAAAGATAATTTTATGAACATAATGTCTACATGTTCAAATGAACTTATAAAGCAATTTTCCAATAGTTTCAAAAAAAATTCAGACTCCCAACAGAGGGTCACAGACATCTTTCAGATCTAATTTTAGTAATTGTGTTTACTGCCTGTGCCAAGATTTGGCTTGCTTACTTATTTTTTATGCTAGAGAATTTACTTTGCAAAGAAAAAAAAATCATTGATTGAAAATTAAGCAATGTAAATGCATACATTTAATACAAATTACAGCTGATAATTGGTTCCAGTAATGAGAATGTTAAGAATTTGTTAATTTCATAGATCATCAATACATCAATGGCAACATGACCTGACCTCTGAGGCATTCCTCAACCCTATGTTATCTAACAGTGTGGGTCTTCACAAATATTTAGAGGGTGCAACTTGATACAGAGAGACCAAACAATTATACACTTCAAAAGATTACTTGACTTGAAGAAGCTTTGACCTGGTCAGGACCTGTCAATCAGTCTACATTTTTGAGGCCAAAGGATATTTCAGGATTTGGATGAAAAGTGAATTGAGCTGAAATAGATTCTCAAGTTCATGTTACACAAAAACCATCATTGATTTTTTAGTAAAAAAATTTCAGTCCATATAGTATGTCCTACCAGTACTGTTGAACCTTCAATGCATGATTTTGCTTTGGAAATTCTGGCCTGAGGAAAACTTCACTAGTGCATCTAATGGATGGCTTTTTTATACGACCGCAAAAAAATTTTGTGGTCGTATATTGGTATGACGTTGGCGTCGTCGTCGTCGTCGTCGTCGTCGTCGTCGTCCGGCGTCGTCGTCGTCGTCGTCCGGCGTCGTCGTCCGAATACATATTGGTTTTCGCACTCTAACTTTAGTTTAAGTGAATGGATCTTTTTGAAATTTGACCATAAGGTTAAATACCACAAAAGGAAGGTTGGGATTGATTTTGGGGGTTATGGTACCAACAGTTAAGGAATTAGGGGCCAAAAAGGGGCCAAAAATGAGCATTTTCTAGTTTCCAGACAATAACTGTGGAATGGTGTATGGATCTCTCTGAAATTATACTACAAGTTTCCATACCACAAAGGGATGGTTAGGATTTGCTTTGGGGGGTTATGGCTCAAACCGTTTAGGAATTAGGGGCAAAAAAGGGGGAAAAACAAGGTTGTCCTGGTTAGTGGACAAATACTTTAGTACAAAACATAATTTAAAGCAGTGTAAGGGAGATAAATCAAATACATCATTGAAATTATCTCCCTTACACTGCTTTTAAATCATGTATAAAGTAATGGTTAATGAACAATAAAGATAATCTAAAACAGTGTAAGGGAGGTAATCCAAATACAACGTTTTGGTTACTTCCCTTACACTGCTTTTAAATTATGTTTAAAGAAATGCATATTTATAAAGGAAGACCAGTAAAAATATCTGCAAATGTTTTCATCTTTTTTTTTTACAAAAAAATCCATATGAAAGATTTGACACTATATTTTTATTAATTCTATTATAAAATAGATTAAGTTAGCACTATGGTAAATTTAAATGGGTAATTATGGTTGCCAACTCCATTGGAAATTTGAATTGAGATTATGACCATATCTTGAGGGAAAGAATTTTTTGGGGGGAAAAAGGGGGGGGGGGGGGGGGATAAAAAGAAATTGTGGGGGGGGCCAATTTTTTCTCATTTCAGATTTCAGAAATTAAAAAGAATTATTCTTCAAATATTATTTTTTTTTCAAATTTCAAATATTGAAAAATTTCAAGAAGTAATCTTTAATTGCACAGTATGGCGCATTAGATTTGTAAAATCTTTGATCACATTTATTTATTTGTTATGCCGAATCTAACAGTGTATTTAGATTTTTAATTTTGGGTCCAGTTTTCAAATTGGTCTACATTAATGTCCAAAGGGTCCAAAATTAAACTTTGTTTGATTTTAGCAAAAATTGAATATATGAGGTTCTTTGATATGCTGAATCTAAACATGTATTTAGATTTTTGATTTTTGGCCCAGTTTTCAAGTTGGTCCAAATTGGGGTCCAAAATTAAACTTTGTTTGATTTCAACAAAAATTGAATATATGGGGTTCTTTGATATGCTGAATCTAACCATGTATTTAGATTTTTTATTTGTGGACCCCGTTATCTAATTGGTTCATATTGAGGTCAAAAGGGTCCAAAATTAAACTTTGTTTGATTTCATCTAAAATTGAATTATTGGGGTTCTTTGATATTCCAAATCTAACTGTGTATTTAGGTTTTTAATTTTGGGTCCTGTTTTTTAAATTGGTCTACATTGAGGTCCAAAGGGTCCAAAATTAAACTTAGTTTGATTTTGACAAAAATTGAATTCTTGGGGTTCTTTGATTTGCTGAATCTAAACATGTGTTTAGATTTTTGATTATGGGCCCAGTTTTCAAGTTGGTCCAAGATAGGGTCCAGTATTTAAACTTTGTTTGATTTCAACAAAAATTGAATATATGGGGTTCTTTGATATGCTGAATCTAAACATGTATTTAGATTTTTGATTATGGGCCCAGTTTTCAAGTTGGTCCAAATTGGGGTCCAAAATTAAACTTTGTTTGATTTCAACAAAAATTGAATATATGAGGTTCTTTGATATGCTGAATCTAACCATGTATTAAGATTTTTTATTTGTAGGCCCCGCTATCAAATTGGTTCATATTGAGGTCAAAAGGGTCCAAAATTAAACTTTGTTTGATTTCATCGAAAATTGAATTATTGGGGTTCTTTGATATGCCAAATCTAACCGTATTTTTAATTTGGGTCCCGTTTTTTAAATTGGTCTTCATTGAGGTCCAAAGGGTCCAAAATTAAACTTAGTTTGATTTTAGCAAAAATTGAATTCTTGGGGTTCTTTGATATGCTGAATCTAAACATGTGTTTAGATTTTTGATTATGGGCCCAGTTTTCAAGTTTGTCCAAGTTGGGGTCCAAAATTAAACTTTGTTTGATTTTAACAAAAATTGAATATATGGGGTTCTTTTTTATGCTGAATCTAACCATGTATTTTGATTTTGGACATTGGACCATAATAGGTAAATTAAAAAAATTCAAGTTCTTAGACCACATTCTTTCTGTGTCAGAAACCTATGCTGTGTCAAATATTTAATAACAATCCAAATTCAAAGCTGTATCAAGCTTGAATGTTGTGTCCATACTTGCCCCAACTGTTCAGGGTTCGACCTCTGCGGTCGTATCAAGCTGCGCCCCAGCGAAGCATTTTATCTCTATCTTCTAGTATACCCACTTCGGGAGGACCCAAGATCACCCCTAGTTTTCGGTTGTTTTTGTTGCTCAGCTTTAAGTTTTAGAATTCTATGTAGTGTTTTTTGGACTTGTTTGTCTTTTCTGGGTTTTATTTTGTTTGGTTTTTTTTTGCCATGGTGTTGTCAGTTTCCCTCAACTTTATGAGTTTGAATGTTAAGATTGCTTGAAAAAAATAATACAGTAAAACATTAAAACAAATCTAACTGCCTAGATTTTATATACTTTGTCACACTTTTAAGTAAAAGTGAAAAATTTGTGACATATTTTTTCTTAATCTTTAAAGTAAGTCAGTCAGGTTTAGGTGTATAATGATGTTTTTAGATGTAAGTAGGTAGGGAGTTTATATACATATCAAGTCATGTTAATCTCACTTTTATTGCTATAATTTCCTATAGAAAAGTATGTTTAATTCATGGTTCACTTTCATACTCATCTCTATTGATACATTTATCAATATCCAAGCCACAGAGGTCTCCGCTTTAACTATGGACTAATGTTCAGGTTCGACCTCCATTTGAATAAAAAAGAAATAAAATTGAAAATTTGCAAGCACTTGATTTACATTTGAAATGTAAAAGTATACCAATTGTAGACATCTTTTCTGATAAAATAGTATAATAATAGGCCATAGAAAAGCTGGAGGGTTTGAAATCAGCTTTATGTCTGGGGCATTTATCCAGGTGAAAGCTATTTTAATCACTTTTGAAATATATAATATCAAATGCAGACTAGATGCATATTTCTGCACACTTGATGCAAATTGTTTTGGTGTTTATCCAATAAAGGTAGACAGAATGTGGTAAATTATTCAGTTTTCATAGTTTTGGTATGAAATGAAACAACTTTTGTAGTTTGAATTCACCGAGTTCTGAAGTTCTGAAACTGAATTTGTACTACTTCTATGACTAAAGCAATGTGGTTTCAGGGGAGAGAACAAATAAATGAACACGATAACTACAAGGTTTTTTGGTGTTTTTTTTTTTTATACATATATATTTTTTTTTTTATACATATATATATATATAAATCATTATCATTATAATAGTGATTACATGAATAATTATAAGTCATATTTTATTTTACTTGTACTCTAAAACAAAAAAAGTACTTGATGCACCTGTAAAAATCATCCTTTCTTTAGCTTATGGCTATACCTCAAAATCCGTTAGAATTTTATAATTCTAGTTTTGTGTAACACCTAGGATAATGCACTTTTGTGTGGTTATGTTTTATAAGTATTTTGTTTTTCTTAATGTCTTGCACATTTAAACTGTATTGTTTTTGTAGGAAGTATGAGGTTAAACTTGGTTAAAAACCACTTCTGGCAAAATCTTGAGTGAATGAAACTATTAAGATTTATCTGAATAATTGGTTTTGATCATAAAATATGAATATTAATATTCTAATTTTATTGATTTTTATCATTGTTTTTCTTTGCCTTAGGTTACCTCTTGTCATGGAGCATAGAGAAAACAACAGTATGATGTAAAATAAGTATCGGAGAACAAACAAGAGGGCAGGTGTTACCAGCAACTGTAGCGTTGCCGAACCAATGTAAATTGTGTATTCATGTTCTAAGGTAAAGAAAAAAAAGAGAATCTCATTGATTTATACATGTGTTACAAACAGGTGGGGCAGGTGACAAGCACACGACCATGCCTGGTGGCCTAACAATCATGCACGCTTTCTTGTCTTACAAATAAAAACACAAACTGTTAAAAACTACAAAATAAGTTTTCTAATCCTACCATTAATTGAACCTATTAAGAGTCACAGTCTGTGTCCTTTTTACATGGAATTTTAACAGTTTGGATTATATATTAAAGGACCAATTGTCACCCAATAGAGAAAAACAACATATAAAGATTGTGAAATTAACAACTTTTCTTTTGTCCTTTTGTAGCTACTCCCCTTTTGAAAGTTTGTAATAATTGTATAAGAACTACATACAAATATCTTTTAAGTCTATGTCAAGGGGACAAATAGACACTCTTGACAAACTTCTGTTTACATTAAATAACACATAATATGGTCAATATTTATTAGAATGTATGTGAGGTCTTAAGGGACTGACTGTAGGTGAACATTTTCTTGCATAATATTATATAATGCAATCATTATAGTAGTGTTGATTAATTAATCATATTTCATTATGGTCCATCTATGTCCTCATAGTTTATTTTAGCTTCTTTACTTTTGATGCAACACAAATACCTATGTTCAGAGGTGCTAACTCTTTTTGTAAAATAGAAATTATGGAACACAGGCAGTGCTGTCTATTTAAAAAATATGGTATTTTGGGTAGATTGAAAAAAATATGGTATTTTGGGTAGATGCATGTGACACAAAATTACCAAAAAATGAAGGGAAAGAACTAAAGAAATTTTAGAATATTTAGGCGTTTTAGTACTAGTCCTGAAATGGATTGGTGATGACTTCAAGCATCAAGGCTGGCCAATATTTATAAGGACTATGCTCTAATGGTCAGTTTAAACATGAGTTAATTCATGCTATACCTAGATTGACAGATATCAACAAACACAAACTATTGTAGACTATAAAATTTTCCAGTTCTATGAATAAGTCAAGAATAAACTAGTGTACAGATTCATTGAAAATCCAGGTTGTTTTGAGGCCAACCAAGGATTAGTATTTTTATCACTTGGTTTTATCTTTTGTCCTGTAGTGTTATAATAAATTATTAAACATTATTTATTTTGACTTGTTTTAGATGTTCCAACTAAAATTCTATTGTATTTTGTGAGGTTTCAAAATTTGCTATAATTAGTTATGAGCTATGTCTATGAAATTGGAAAACATAAAATCTTATAATGAAAAAAGAAACATATATTAATTTACTTCCTGTTCACTAACTGGCATATAATATGTTGAAAAGAAAAAAAGAAAGCTTGCAATGATTTTATTTCCACAGAATGGATTTATTTGCATTTCCAACATTAAAATGACATAACATTATTATTGAATAAAATTTGGCATAAATAATTAGTTTTTAAATGAAGAATATTAACTTTTTTCTATTTCAATAATGAAACTTTTAGGGTTTATATTGAATTAAAAATGGATGCACAAATTAAAAGATTTATAGATATCTTTTGCAAGGAGACTACATGTATTATGAAAAGTCATGTAATTGGGTCTTTAAATTTGCACATTTTGTTAGAAAAAGATTTCTCAAGATAAAATTTTAAATTTTCCCATGACACTTTTGTATGATTTAGATATGACTTTCAATCTTAAGAACAAATTTGGTGACTTTATTTTGAAAAGCAAACTGTCCTTTAACAGATTCAGAGTTCTAATTTATTAGCATATTTTCAGGAGGTTCATTGTTACTGGGAGATTTACTATGAGTTGTGGCAAAGTTTTTGGTAACCCTGATGCATTCAACAATATTTTATGTTGAACACAATTTAGTTTACATTTTTTTTTACATACTTACATTTAAAGATCTAAGTATAAAAGTTTGTGATTTATATGCACACAACATAAGTTTTTGGAATAAACACTTGAGACCAAAAGTTTGGAAAGCCAAAAGTATAAAACCAAAGGGCTTAAACAAAACAGCAAACACTGTCTGAGGTCAACTTTCCTCTGGGTTTCTGTCTTTAGTTTAAGCACAATGATAAAAAAAAATTTTAAACTGAAAATTTTCAGACAAACTATCATAGGAGATTATGCCAAAAATAAAGCACTAGCTACTGGGTCGATAGTACCCTTGGGACTGATCATGCTAATAATGAAACACTATTTGGATTGTACCATTGGGACTGATCATACATTGGCTTTGGGACTGACCATTCTTTATGCAGTGCAGCTATAGAACAGTTACGGTAAATTCAGAAATTATTGCATGCATTTATTATTGCGAATTTTGTAGAATGGACTTAAATACATAATTAACAAGTGAAACTGTGAGCTACTGCTCACTGATGATACCCCCAGCCCAAATACTTGACGGTTAACAGGAAGTTGTTGAGTGATGAATCTAAAAACGCATCACACGGTATAGCTGACTTATATAAACCCTGAAACCAAATTTCAGAAATCCTTAAATTGTAGTTCCTTAGAAAGATGCGACAAAAAATATTCATGGGACGGATGGATGGATGGACTGATGGACGGACAGACAGAGGTAAAACAGTATACCCCCACTTTTTTAAGCGGAGGTTTTAAAGGAGAGGTATAATTATTGCGATTTTAGGAAAATCTGCATACAATTATATGTATCAGATATCAGAATGCGAGTTTTTATTATTACTAAACTCGTTCAGTCGCAATATTTGCACTAATAAAAACCTCACAATAATTTCTGAATTTACAGTACTCTGATGGTTCTTGGTTACTTTGTGACACATAATCACAAACATATCATAAAAAACAAAGGATCACAAGAGCCTCACATAACAAAAAGTTCCAAGGATCACTTAAGAGCTTTTCATACCACAGAAGCTCCCATGATCATATAATAAAGCTATACATATCACAAAAACGAGGGGTCATTATAGAGCTATTCATATCACAAGAACAAGGGATTGTTGTAGAGCTATTCATATCACAAAAACAAGGGATCATTATAGAGCTATACATACCACAAAAACAAGGGATCATTATAGAACTATACATATCACAAAAACAAGGGATCATTATAGAGCTATTCATATCACAAAAACGAGGGATCATTATAGAACTATACATATCACAAAAACAAGGGATCATTATAGAACTATACATATCACAAAAACAAGGGAATGTTATAGAGCTATTCATATCACAAAAACAAGGAATCATTATAGAGCTATATCAGATAAACTAGGGAATGTTATAGAGCTATACATATCACAAAAACAAGGGATCATTATAGAGCTATTCATATCACAAAAACAAGGGATTGTTGTAGAGCTATTCATATCGTAAAAACAAGGAAATGTTATAAAGCTATACATATCACAAAAACAAGGGAATGTTATAGAGCTATTCATATCACAAAAACAAGGGATCATTATAGAGCTATTCATATCACAAAAATAAGGGAATGTTATAGAGCTATATCACATAAACAAGGGATCATTATAGAGCTATACATATCACAAAAACAAAGGATCATTATAGAACTATACATATCACAAAAACGAGGGATCATTATAGAGCTATTCATATCACAAAAACAAGGGATCATTATAGAGCTATTCATATCACACAAAGAAGGGATCATTATAGAGCTATTCATATCACATATCACAAAAACAAGGGATTGTTGTAGAGCTATTCATATCACAAAAACAAGGGAACATTATAGAGCTATACATATCACAAAAACAAAGGATCATTATAGAACTATTCATATCACAAAACCAAGGAATTTTATAGAGCTATTCATATCACAAAAATTACAAAAGTCTCACTTAAAATATTTATCACACAAAAATTAGAAAAAATCATTGCCATGAAACACAAAATATGAAATTATAAACATGTAATAGACTTATAAGGGCGAATCATTTTATTCTGGCACTTTTTTGATGGTGGTGAAAAACATTTAGTTTACTGTATTCTGTTACATGACTATGATTAAATAGAGTATCTTCTTTTTTTTACAAGTTGTGTTTTTAGGTGTCTGTGAATCTCCTAATTTTCACAACCTGAAACCTGACCTACTTAAAATCAATAGCTACTTATCATTATAAGCCATTTGATATGATATTAAGAGGAGATAATTTTTATCTTCAAATTTATCTTATCAGTGATAAGTCTGTGTAATGTCAAAAATACAAGCCATTTGTCATAATTATATTTATTTGCAATTTGTTGAAACCTACACCTAATTGACATATGGCTGCCATCTTGAAATGGACATGATGACACACAGATTAGTTCTTGTTTAGTTAATTATAATCAAACACATGATAAGGAGCCCAGGAATGAGGCTATATATCTTATAATTGCCATAAAAATTGTTTAATTTATATAACAACCATATCAGATTAAATACTTAATATATTTAAGAAATTTTATCCAATTTTGTCTTTTAAATATTACTAAGGTTTAAACATTGGCCTATCACTAGCAGATAAGCAAGCCACATCACACTATTTTGTAAGGTTTTGCCTGGTTCATATTCCATGTATGGAACACCACTTTCAGGATCACATTGCTGATGCTTAAGACAAATATCAGCATCCTATAGAAATTAAATTGGGCTCATACTTTTGCTTTAAATGTTCCTCTCTTTTAATTAATTTATCTTTCAACTTATATCTATCTATTGATTGGCACGTCCAAAGCGAAACTGTTTATGTAATTTTCAGATTGTTGTTCAAATTTAAGATTACCGAAATTTCAGAAATTATTTGTTGCTTTTATATATCTGATTATATTGATCAATGGACAAGTATGTAAGATTAAATATGTGAAATTGCTGTATACAAATCTTGCTATCAGAAGTTGAGAAATAAGTCAATGATGATTTTCCTTTTAGATTTTTCACAATGATTTAAACATTGCCAAATTTTCAGAATTGACAGTAACTTTCAATGACGTCATAAATTGAGGAGAAACATTATCAGAATATAGTCCTATCCATTTTAACATGAGTGTCTGAAACAATTGGGGATATGGAATTTTTTTGTTTGTTATTGCGAACCCAATGAAAGTTTTCCACAGTGCCATCTCTATCTTGACCAGGTATTTAAACTTTTGCAAGTTCACCTGTCCTATTGAATGAATACAATAGCAATTTTTCTCTGTGTAGTTTATTCACTGGGACCTTTAAATTTCTTCTAAGAGAAATCTTTCATTCTTTGATTAAATTACCTGTGTAAAAAAAAATTCTTATATATAGACAAAAATACTTTTTTTATACTCATTAACTGCGTGTGCTGATGTATTTATTCAATATTAATAATATATTTTCATTCAGTTTAATATAAACATTGATTCAATCATAAAAAGTTGATTTCTAACAAAAGTTTTATCAATGTTCCTATTGAAATTTGATTTTTTTTTGTTTAGTTATAGAATACATTTAAGAAGATCTTAATTTGAAACATCATTATTTTCAAGTTCTTATTTATGTCAAACAAATTTTTTTTTAAAAGGAACAATGTTGAAAGTTTTGTCAGAAATCAAATTTTTATGATTGAATCAATGTTTATATTAAACTGAATGAAAATATATATTATTAATATTGAATAACTACATCATCACACGCAGTTAATGAGTATAAAAACAGTATTTTTGTCTATATATAAGAAATTTTTTTTACTCAGGTAATTTAATCAATGAATGATAGATTTCTCTTAGAAGAAATTTAAAGGTCCCAGAGAATAAACTACACAGAGAACAATAGCTATTGTATCTATTCAATAGGACAGGTGAACTTGCAAAAGTTTAAATACCTGGTCAAGATAGAGATGGCACTGTGGAAAACTTTCATTGGGTTCGCAATAATAATGGTGAGAACTTTCTATCTTTGTCCTTTAACTCTGATCAGAAGTTATTATTTGCCTGAAAATGGCTGATGTTTGGAAACACTAGGTCACTGTCATTTAATTTGCCACTAGTTAATCCATGCATTCGTTGATGTCATGTGGGAAGCGTAGTCCATAATTGAAATATAACTTAAATTTTCCTACTTAGTCCCAAATATGCATATAATATAGCCACTGGCATTAAGCAGTCGACTATCAATTAATAATTTTCTTCCTCCTCAACTTGAGATGAAGATTTAGATATTTCTTGCATTTCTTTTCAAAATAAAATTATAATGTGCCCTATGATCTTAGTAGCTCTCATATGAATTTAGTGAGTAGGTACATGTATATGGATACTTGTGATAAAAATAAAATAAAATTAGAAGCATTTTGAGCAACATGTTGCAACATCTCAAAGAACTTTAAACTTTTAAACTTTAATGGGGTAATACCAGCATCCATAAATTAAGTAGAATACAAAATAAAGTTAATGTTTAAATAACCTTGTGGCAGGAAACTGATGAAAATGTATATAAAGATGAGATTTTGATGAAGATTAGCATATTTCTTTTCTTATTTTTCCATATCATGTTTGGTCTCGTCTGAAATTATATCACAGAAATTATTTTTAAGGTCAATCTTCTTTATAAAAGATTAAAAGTTTATCTTTCCTCACAATGCCTTACTAAAAGGATGAAAAAAATAATATCTTCCTAACCATTATATATTTTAAATGATGTATTGGGGATAGTCAGGTTTGATGTTTTTAAGCGTGAAAAATCTACCTCAGACTTGTTTAGTCATTAAATTATTAGTTTTGTGTATTGGGTTTATTATTGTAGTACATACGAATTGTCATCTCAATGGGATATTAAGCATTTAAAAAGCAATTTGAGTACTTATAATTATAAGCTAGAAGTAAGTCCGTCACCAGGGGTGGAGGAAAGAATGTCTTTTCTTTATGCAGAGTGTCTTGACATGATTTGCTGACTTTACGTTTTAAGAGATTACTGAATGTCGAGCATATTTAGACGGGTAATCTTTTCAGGACAATCAAAATTGTTAGGATTTCGTATCCTGTTTATGGGACGAAGAACCCCGCTGCTACCATTTCCATGTCAGACTGTTTAATAGAGGCAGTTGTACCAAGACCACCTAAAATAATTATCCTATGATAATAAACATGTTGTATAAAATAGGATTAAGTATGTCATGGTCTTTAGTGTAACATGTTCTAGGGGCTGTAAAAAGTACTGTTCTACCTATGTCTGATAAAGGTCGTCTAGTATGTATCCAAATAAGAAGCCTTGTTAGCAATAAGCTGTTTTTTTCTTTGAATCATAAGAATTAGTAATGAGCAATGAGAAATTTAGATATTTATCGAAATAAAAGATTTGAAATGTCATACAGTGAATTCAAATATTTTTTTAAGGACAAAATTATTATAACTTCCCCTTTTTTTTTTTAGTTCAAGTCAAGTAGAGAGACAAAAATGAATCATTGCAGTTAAGTCCTAAATCTAATATCCTAAATCGTAAAAAAAATTACACATTCAATTAATCAATCAGATTGTGAATTATCAATGTAAAACAGACTGTATTTAGATTTTCATGCCCCGGCTGTGGTGGAGAGGGCATGAAGGTTTACCCTTGTACATCAGTTCCTATGTATGTACGCCCCAAAATTGGTTTCCGTTCTTTAACTTTAGATTGCTTGACCCAGTGTAATGAAACTTATACACAATGTTTGTTTCCACCAACCACAGATCAAGCTCAAATTTTGGTGGTTTCAATTTCACCTATCTTGAGTTTCATATGTCCCTTTATAAACCAAAAAATTGTTGAATTTGCCAATTCCACACACAGATTAAGTTTGAATTACGAGGGTGTCACTTTCACTGTTTTGGAGTTTCCCCAATACTGATTTATTAAACAAACCATGATCAATTTCTAATGACAACATACAGAAACAAATGTCTTTAAATTTCAAAGAAAACAAAACGTCAATAGGTTTGAAATAGTACATTGACTCTTGCATATTTACAAGCGGGGGCAACTGTGTCTTGTTTAGTCAAAGTATTGAGTAAATTTGAACTAGATATTTCAATAATTTATATGCCTGGATTGAGCTTTAAATAAACCCAGGATATACAAAATACTGAAAAAAGCCTTCTTAAAGGGGAAATTACTCTTATAATTAATGAGAAATTTGAAAATCCATTTTTAGAAGAATTTGTGAGAGCCTGACCTAGTAGAGATTGACCTCATTATTTTTGTGTTCAGTGACATGTTTTTTCATGTTAAAAAAATGTAAAAATGCTAACAAACTTATTTTTAAGAGTAGATCTATAAAAATATGATTACAAGTCAACAGATGTATCGCACAATGATAGCTGCATTTTATTTTATCAAGTAAATTATTAGTAATAATGTTATTATTATATATTTTACTCCTAAGGGTAAAACAAGGTGATAATAATGTTTTTTGGTTGGTTCAAAGGCATACAAGTATATTGGTGCTGACAGGTTACATTTGTATTCATATAAACTCTTGCATGACTGAACAATTTAAACAGGAGTTGTCTCCTCTTCCCACACAAATGTCACATGGTTGCTTTGAAGTTCTGAAAACAATATGTCTCCAGGAATTTTATATATATATAATAACTTAAAAGTTATATGGGGACAATAATAACTAAATGCTACATCAGCAAGAAAATTTCTAACCCAGGCTTATGGCAATTTTGAAGTGTTATGATGAAAATTGCAAATGGGCCTCATTTTTTCCAAGCAATAGGTCTTATTAGATTTCAGTAGGGTCGGCAGAACACTTGCAAGCGATTCTTTTCCTTAGGAAGTCCCAACAAAATGTGGTATAGGTAATTTTAATATCTTGTGTCTTGAACAGACCTGTATTTTATACATGGTGCTTTGTTTGTAAGATGGGATCAGTGCATTATTTATTGGTCCAAGCTGTATTTAGGAAGAAGTGTGTTATATGTGAAAAATTGTCCAAAACTGAAATCTCAGTATCTTTTTACCAGTAAAGTGAATTTACTTTTCTCCTTAATCGCCATTTGTGTCTTAACATGAATTCCATCAAATGCAAGTTAATTGTTTAAACAAAAATTGACAATTTTACATGAATTTAGTACTAATATACCAAAAAAAACTTTTTTTCATTTTCTATGGCTTTTTGTTGCAGTTATGTGAATTCAGTAAATTGTATCTGAAATCTTTGTCTTTATATCTTTACAATGTTTTTATTCAAAAAATTAAATTGTTTCAATTTGTCATCATCATAATCAACACTAAAACACGTTTTTTATGCATATCATTTAAATTCATAATACAAGCAGTAAGCATGCAGTCTCATTATTGTTTTGATATTTTAGGGGGTTTACATGGTCCGATTCCTCCAAATGTATCTCTCCTTTGCTCATTAATTATTGGAATTCAAAGGTTCATGCCCGTAAGACATACTTACATATGTTATAATATATAAAGCATTTCTTTTTCACTGAGAGCAGTCCTCTACTATTTTTAATGTTACCATTTGCTTAAAAATAAGCCAGCTTTTTGATTAAGTGTAAATGAGTTTCATTGCTCCAATCAATCTTCATTCTTTTAAAATTAAAAATTTATTGTTAGAATTTTAAAAGTTATTTTGTTACGCCCACAGTTCTATATATACATATATAAGCTATAAAAAAACATACAATGGCTAAAAATAAAATCAATAAGAAATCAGCATATTGTGCTGACATTGTGAGTTATGCATTAATGACATGTGCATATTGTGTGTATGTGTGCAGTTTTAATGTATTGGAATTTCTTTGTTGTACGATGGACAATGACCACAGTGCGAGCTTTTTTTAGCATAATTAAAACAATGGATAATAGTAGATTAAATAAGAGGTGCTGCACAAGGTATTTAATCAGTAAATTTATACAAAACATTTTCTTTGTCCTGGGACATTGATTTATATTTTTTGTTTTATGTTGATTTAGCATTTGTTGCATTCTAAAATGTTAAGTTGTAAAACTAAAACTAGAAAGTGCATTTTGTAATATCTTTGTTTTATTTCAGAAGACTGATTTTCCTTTGTTTGAAAAATGGTTGATTTAATTGTGTATCCAAATATAGAGGAATCGTGGAATGTAAAAAAGAAGAAGAAACTGTTCAAGTAAGAAATATTCTGATCATATAGTTGAGATTTTTCTGGATTTTTAAATGTCCTCTACAATTTATTGTTTTTAAAATGAGAAGGGTTGAGATCTCAAAAAAGTTTTTTTTTAAATGAGAAGGGTTGAGATCTCAAAAAAGTTTTAACACTGCTATATGTTCATGAGCCTGTCTTAGTATAGAATCTCTTCAGGCATAAAATATGTCAATGTTGTTTTGTTTTTCATTTTGAGAATTTGGTATTGATGGCAGATCTTTAATAGGCACTGTTAAATTTATTCACAATATTGCATTTTCAATTGTCTTGATTTCATTAAAATTGTGTCTCTTTATCGTGAATTTGAAAGTCAAAACGAAATCTAAAGGGCAATGAACAAGAAGATAAGTTTATTGTGGAATACCCGGTAGTTATATTTACTATGCCTGTCCATACATGAGGATACTTATCTGTTGGTCAGTTATATGTGAATGTATGGACTATTAATACAGAAGAGTAATTTTCCAGACATGTTATTTGAACCCTGCTTTTAACAAGACTTTTCTGGATTTTTTAACTTGGTAGTTCAAATGTCAACACCCTTCATGAAGACATGGTTACCTGGTAATTCCATCCAGTCACATTATTTTTACTCTGAGCTGCCAAGTCTGTTATTTCTCCTAGATACAGCAGGCTTGCAACTGAATGGAGGTATTTAGGGGATATGAGAACTGCCAGATTACAGTCTTTCAGAGGTTACAGTATTACTTACCAGGGAGCCACACTAGCCCAGAGGTCTAATTAGTTCACCTACAGTGATCCTTAGCCAGTCATCTCTGAGGTTGTGAGTTCCAACCTTGCTTGTGGCAAGGTGTGTTTGACTTCTATCTTAGTTGACAAGGATTGCCAGTTTTCCTGTCGAAGGTCTGTGGTTACACAAGCGTCCTCCACAACAAAAACTGTCTGCCATGATATAGCCAAGGTTGCTGAAAATGGTGTATAACTTCAAGTAAAAAACAAACTAACTTACCAGTTTTGAGATGGTTTATATTTGCCATTTAAAGTTATTTGTAGGGGATAATTATTCTTTGGGTAAAGTCAGTTTATGTCAATTACATTAAGAAAATAATGGAAAGGTCAAGATCCCCTGAAAAAACTTTTGTTACTTTGAATTAAAACCAACTGCTATTTTTGTCTCTCCTTGATGGAGTCAAAAAGCGAGACATAGGTATGCTGTTTCCAGCTGCAGCTGCATCAACAATGTATTAGTTTGTGATTAGGTCAGTTTATGGGGAACCACTAGTGGTTGGTCAATGATATTTGGTATGCAGTTGTATTAGCATTGGCACATCTCATATCGATGGAGATTGTTTGGCCCTGTACCTTCAGTCATGGTTGATTGACTTTGAATATTTTGCACAACTTACATGTATACGTATTGATATTTTAATTTCAACATTTGCATTTTACTATCAAAATAATAGAAAGGCGAGACATATCTCTGTGTTAACAGTTTATGCAAATATCTATTGTTATTTATGAGTATACTCAACCCTTCCACTACAAAATTTAATGTTTATTACCTAATAAGAAAAAGAACTAATAACCAATAGTAAAGTTATCTGTAAAGGGGGTCATAAATATAAAAATAAGGAGAGATGTGGTATGATTGCCAATGAGACAACTATCCACCAAAGCTCAAATGATGTGGATGTAAGTAGTTATAGGCAACCGTACGACATTCAACAATGGGAAAAACCCATACCGTAAAGTCCTATAAAAGGCCCGGACATGAAAAATATGAAACATTTCAATTAGAAAACTAACGGCCTAATTTATAACAAAACAATTTACAGGACTTTATTTCCTGCTCACTAGCATTAAAGAGGGAAAGTTTGACTCTTGTTTTTGAATACAACCAGATTTGTTCAGTTTTCCTTATTAAGTTCTAAATAATACATTGTAAAATATTGATGAAATTTCATTTTTACAGTCAACTTATAAGTTACAACACTGTTTAGCTCTTGAGTTAATTAGGTCACTGTCATCTACATTTAAGTGATTCTGACTATTTTTTATGTACAACTTTTTAATGCTATTATTAAAATCTTTTGCTGGTTGTCTTGCATTAGGTAACATACTTCAGATTATTTTCCAATGAATAATATTTAGGTTACCTACCCTTTTGGTATTTTGTAAACATTTTTGATAAAGCCAAAATTTCAGAATATTTTTGCTATTTGGTCCTCGTGCCAACATTTTTGTCACAGAATTGATCTGCATTTCAAGCATCACTCACTTAAATCAGGTTTTAAGCTTAAGTTCATAAATCAAACTATTTTTCATATTGTATTTGAAAGTAGACCATGCAGGTCTCAAAGAGTATAAAAATTGTCTTCCTTAGGTAAAAAAACTTGTAGAGGGAAGAAGATTGTATAAATTCAATTAATGATTTCCTGATTTTGTTTAACAGTTTACTTACTATCAAAGGATGTTATCCAGTATTCTGTAAGGGATTCCAAAGGAGGAACAGACATATCATTTAATACATTCTAAGGAGAGTTCACCTAACACTTTCCATAGACAAAGGTAAATATGTATAAAGATTTTGAAAGTGTCAAGGGTTCTAAACATTGAACAGCCCAGACTTCAGGGCCATGATGGCAAAATGGTCTACGGTGAATATAGACATCCATGCACTACATAAGGGGCTAGAAAGACTATTAGGTGTTTACACCTGGACTCAATATACTGATATGAGATAGAGTTGTGGGCCAGTGGTTTACTCCAGGCTACCAGGTTTCTGGTTTGATTACATAAATGTATAGAATGAGGCATCAAACACACCAGACTTGAAGGAATCTTAAACAATGTCTTTCAGTAACTGGGATATTGTTATTTTACATTCTGAAACGAAATGTTTTCTTGTGTAACAACTTTCTGACAATTAATGTTTGGCAAATTAGGCCCAAACTATACCTTTCCCTTTAGAGGATATATGAGCGGCATTTACCAGGAATTACTTAAAACCCATTTGAATATGGCCAGCTTTTGTCCTTGATTTGGTTGTAAATTCCTAGCCTTATGCAAAATAGAAAACATTAAGATCCACTCCTGTTGACAGTACTGTCTACAGCCAATTAACCTAAAAAGTAGCATGACCTTTACATGTAGAAACTCAATTAAAATGTTATATTTGCTAAAATAGCTGTGAAATATCATTTAAAAATATTAGCACCTTTACACCTTTATTAAGGTTCCTCCATATAAAGTGAGAATGGATAAAGTTTAAATTATATGTGTCAAAATTGTATAAAAAATGTGATTTGTCAATCCAAAAGTTAAAATTTGTCGACAAAATTTACTGTTTTCTTAATAAAAAAATTGATTGATTGATTGTTGCTTGATTAATGTCCAGTGTTAAAAAATATGATTAATTAGATTACTGCTGAGATCAAATAAGACCCATTTAAAAAAAGCAAAATTGTGCAAGTCTTATTTGTATTTTTTTTTTTTTCTATATTTATTTTTTTGTTTTCTATTTGTATTTTTGCCACATGCTTATTTAGTTTACTGACAATCAAGATTTGAATTGAATTCTACTAAATGATATCTTGATTTCTTTAAAAGGGAAATTCAAATAACCAATCGTACAAGTTACTTCATTGTTTTCCTATCTTTCCTTAATATACAAGACATTTCATACCCCTGATAGCGTTAGAGTATCATATAAAATCAAATTATTAAAACAATTATATAGCATAAGGTATATAAATACAAATGCACTATGAATAATAAACATTTAACAAGAAAAACCACTGAACTGCTTGATAGATCACTTATAAGATAATTAAAATTACTTCCGAAAAGTTAGATTTTGATGAAACTGTGTATAAAAAAACAATGAAAAACTTGTACAATAATCAAATATGGAGACAGACCATTGCCATAACCAGGCAGACTATGTCACCTGGGTTCTTTGTCATAAAACTTTACTCAGTACTCGGAGTACAAGATTTGTGCTCAAAACACAAAATCCAGTAATTTGATTGGTTGATTTCTGCGTCTGAATCGTGCTCAAAAGTCTTATGACCGCAAGGCCTGAACTTTTATCAAAAATGGAGATATAACACATTAATAAGAGGGGTTAGACAGGGATAAGGAATGAGGGGGAGAGATACTGAACAAATTTTTTTCCTGTTTTTTGAGTAGGGTTGGGTGGGAAGTTGGAATCAGGAATCCACCTGTGCATCCCCTCTCATGATGAAACAATGAATTGTATGTGCTTTTTTTACATTAATATTGTGTAAGAATTGTTATGCATTACACTTAATTTTTAAGACATGTGCACTGTTAAAATACAAAAAGTACAAATAATTGTCCATGACAAAAAGTTTGAGATGGGTGTGAAGACAAGGTCTAATGAAAGTTGATGTGATTCATAGCTCAACCAGATCCATCTTCATTAAAAATCATCAAATTTTGTTTTCATCCTGTCGTTATAAGATGTATACTAATTCATCATTACATCCTTAGGCAAGGACAACCATCATGGGGACAAATTTTATACAACACGATTTATACAGACAAATTTTAATACTGGCTGTATCATTTATCATCAGTATATAAGTGTTTCCCGCCAAAACAGGAAACATTTATTTAGACACCTGATAGGCCCCTAGTTGTCGTCAGCTATTATTTTGGTCATCTGATTTTGAAATGTTAAAAAAAAAAATGTTGTCGGTTTTTATATCAAGGTTAAGTGCCCTACTTGAAATGTTTTAAGGTTATATATTCTTCAGAGACTTTTTTCATCAAGGGATGGTCAATAATTTGTCATACCTACTTACAAAGAATTAAGTATCATTATAATTATAAAGTGTTTTAAAGTTATTTACATTTTTAATAATATATGATAAAAAGATGTATTAATATACCGGTATATAAAAATACCAGTAAGTAGAAACTGAAATAAGCTTAATGAATTAAACAAACTGTAAAAAAAAGAAAAGAGATTTAGATTCAATAATGTGCTTCCTGAGTGTTCTAGTAAAAAAGTATTGAAAATGGTAAACTTTTAAAATTATGTTTCAATTAGATAGAATGAAACATAGTTTCAAAATTCCTTGCAAATGACATACTGGGGTGATGGTTTTACACCACTGAAAAACTTGGTAAATGCCCTTTTCTGGCAGTTCATCCATTGTCAGAATATCCAGCCTTTGTACTTTTCTGATTTCTTCTTGAGTTTATCTTTAAATTGTTAACACTTCTTCAAAGCTGAACCCAATGGCTTATCATGGTTTGATGAAAAATCTGATGTTTGAGGTCAAAGCTAATATATTTATTGAAATGGTGTCCATGCCATATCTTTATTCTGCATCCAAGTCTACTTTCCCCAATTCTACAAGTGTACATTTTGGCATTGACCAATGTGATATCTTGTTGGTGTCGCAGCTGAAAAATCTATTGGTGTGCGAGTTTTATAAGGTCTTTAAGTACCTTTTCACATTAAACAATTTATAAACTTGAAAATCCTGATCACACTGGAAAAAGTTTCAAATCGTGTCAAGTCATACATTTTCATGCAACTATAATCTGTAATCTGTTTATGCCTGCCTTATGGAGGTAGAGGACATTATGTTTTCTGGTCTGTTCATCCATCTGCCTGTTAGTCCACCCTGTATCAGGTTAAAGTTTTTGGTTAAGGTAGTTTAGAATAAAAATGTGGTATCAAAATACGGTTTTGACCCAAATTTCTTGGTTCACTTGACATAGAAAATATGAAAGTGTGAAATAAGTACATTCTCAGGTTAAAGTTTTGTTAAAGTAGTTTACAATTAAGTTGTGGTCGCATCAACTTGAAACTTAGTACACTTATAAAAATAGGAAGATGTGGTATGATTGCCAAAAATAAGAAGATGTGGTATGATTGCCAAAAATAAGAAGATGTGGTATGATTGCCAATGAGGCAACTCTACAGCAGAGACCAAATGACGTAGAAATTAAGATGTATAGGTCACTGTACACCTTCAAAAACGAGCAAAACCCACATGCATAGTAACCACATGTTCATTATGGTTTGAAATTGTTTTTTTAAGATATGCCAAATTAGGCCTTTGACCCACAACTTGTAATTTCTGGACACGGAAATGTGATAGTGGGAGGGGTATGGTGTCATATGCACACTTATTCTTAGGGTTTTTTATAAGCTTAAACCAAGTTCATAAGTAGTAAAATATTGTTAGAGCCAGTGACTTCTTCAATTGTGCCAAAGCCGCAGCAAATTTTAATTTGGAGTTCACCTACAGTACAAAGTTAGCATTGGGTAAAATGTGCACACTTGAGGGATACATATTATATAATATTTACATTAATTTTATACTTGTTCAGTTACTACCCTTTGATTGTTTTAGCAACATAGTCCCAGTGTTTGCCATTATACATGGTATGGCTATTTGTCCGTCATAAGAGGACATCAAAAAGTTTCCCACAGAATTTTGATGAGACAAGAAAATGTTTTTGATTCCACTTTGTGAAAGTCATTTTGCATGATGTCAGCTGTTTAAAAAGTGTTACAGAATCCCAAATAGCAAGAAGTCTATAGTTCCAATAGAAATTGAATCCTTTTTTGTATACTATTTGATACAAAGAAAAAATGTTTATGTTAAAGGTATAAATCATGTATAATGTGTTATAGGTTTTTAAGCTTAAAAAGTGAATTATTGCTATGCAGACTAGATGATGCCCAGAAACAATACAACTTTTACAACACTTCAGACTTGAAAAGACTCAGACATTAATATAACAAAAAATAAATGTTGTCTGTCGAGTGCACAAATTACATTAACACAGAAGTGTAAATCATTTTATTGATCAGTAATAAATAAATCTTTTTTAAAAGATTGATAGAAAAATAAATGTTGCAAAAAAAATCTGTGATTGATGAAATTTTAGGTAAAATTTTTGTATGATAAAGATCAAAGAAATTACATATGTCTTAACAGCAGACCAACAGAAAAAAAATTATCATGCTTGGAGACCTCTTTATTTTTCATCTGCAGATATGGCTGCTTCCACAACTATGTCAAGCTCTGTTTTGTTTTTCATGGACTAATTGAACTACCAATTTAAGCCACAAATTATTAATTTTTTAAATTTCATCATAAGCCACAAATAAAACTTCTTTTATTGGTTAAGATACACCATCAACAGTAACATATTGTTACCTATGTGTATGGTAGTGTTTACATTGATTTTACTTCGGTTAAGGCAGATGGGCCTTTATAGTATAAATTCCATCTTTTGTAGATTTAAACTATAATTGTGAATACATAGACAGATGTCCCCTATCTACGTGATCTTCTGATGACTTAACTGGAATAAAAAACTTTTCAAATGATTGTTTGAACTATTACATCTCATCTTGTGCCATTAATTTACCGTGGATCAATTTTTCTTTGATCATTCAGGAAGATATTTGGGTACTTATTATAACGAATCAGGATCGTCACAGCAGATGATTACCGATTTTGTCAATGTCTTTTCAGAAAAAGCTCGTAAACATGAATACAATCGTGAATGTTGCT